TGCTTTCTGAGATCTGAGTCATCCCAGGGTCTCCTTGCCAGGCAGAGCGAGCTCCTGAACCTCCCAGAATAAAGAGCAGTGCCAACATCTTCAACCCAGCTCACGCGCAGGACTGGCAGCCTGAGGTCTGGAAGCTGCCCACACATTGCGCATCAGCCAAGGCAGCGTCGTTTGCAGAGTGTGAAGTGTAGGTTAGGAACGTGGTCAGAAAGTGATAGAAACGTTGTCTTCGGTCGTGGGGTTGTGAGCGATTCCTACGTCTTTAGATGCTGCTTCATGCCCTTTTCCCTGCCGTGGCACTGAGTGGTCACAAAGAAGGGCCGGAGTTCGGGTTCCGGAATCTCTGGGTCCATGGCCGTCTCGTGAGGTGGTCGGCATCGGTCACCGTGATGGCACCGGGAGTGGGGAGTCCCTGCAGTGTCGGACAGCATGTGGGTCTCGCCTCGCTTGTCTCTGGAGATGCGGCTGTGATCTGGCAGGATAGACAGCAGCGCTGGCATTTCCACGTCCATGACATCATGTGGCTCTGCTGTCCCAGGTGACTGAGAGTCCGTGTGAAAATGTGTGTGACAACACCGCCCCCTCCCGCCAGACGTGGACGACAGAGTGGAAGTGACACGTGATGGCTGGAGTCCTCTGTGTAGAAGTGGCTGCTGGGGGTCTCTGGGTAGAAACCGATGTTGAATTAACCCTGTGGGTGCCGTGTCTAACACTCAGGTTTAGACCAAGTATCTGACGAAGTCTAATTCCAGTGCTAGATGAGTTAGCCATCAATTTCCCCAGGTTCACTGAGACAGAATCGATATACAACATCACCGTACACCGCTTTGTAAAAATTACAGCCTGCACCAAATCGTGCGATGATGGTTTGTGTGAATTCTAGAAAATGAAAGCAACTGTATGTGCATTTCCATGTGCTTGTTTCTGTTTGATGTGGATTTGTGGTGTACATGCAGAGCACCTGTAAGCTACATATACACAGAACAGCTGGAGAAAGGCCTGCTTGGGTGTGGTTGGCAGGGTCATAATATGGGTGCAATAACTTACAGTTTTAATTTGAACATGTCCCCTGGAGTGTCCTATGGTGCTTGAGTGTGACATTGTTATGTTACTGAATTACATGCTTATGACTTTACAATAAAAGATTTTGTAATAAAAAGGGTGATATTTGTGCCAGACCATGTATGTGGGTACTTCTGGTTCTCTCGTTGGCTTTGAGGTTTGGAGGTAACTGCTGCCATCGGTACCTGCAGAAAGACCCTTAGACGTTTTCTTCGGCAATAATTGCATTTCCAGTCCTGTAAAGATAACAGAACATTCACTAACAGAGCAAAATGATCACCAAAACGCTGCGGATTAGTTCATTGCCCTTAGGAAATATAACTTACAAATGCCCTTACAACCAATTCCTGTGGAGCAGTATGTTAATGTGTGATTATAATTGCAGTATTTAAAAGTTTGTTCATTAACATTGCTTCCAGTTCGAATACTCTGCTTCTTTGAAACTCTGTTCAAGGCTGAGATTGAAACCAAGCATAGATGTAAGCCATTAAAAAAGAAACCATTTGTAGAGTGTTTGCGAGTGCTCTGTCCCAGGCAAGCGCCCATCAGAGTGGACGTCTGGAGGCGAAGGACCCCCCCAAGGAAGGCAGGCTCAGGTCTCTGCTGGGGGTGATGTTTGAGGAGACACCACAGCCTTGGTATTTGCTGGGGAGGGGGGTTGAAGGGCAGCAAGCCCCGAGCTCTGTCTTTATGAGAAAGCACGTGAGCAATCGGAACACACACACACAGGTGTCATCTATCATCTGTATCCCTGCAGCCATGGACTTACTTTATTCAGCGGGAAGTCCTTGTCGCCCCTGAAACTGTCTTTATTTCAGGTGAACAGGATGCCTGGATTCAGTTTGGTACCGATGGAGAGCAAAGGTGGTTCATCCTTTACATGCATTGATCAGAATCACTGTACAGCCTGGGATTTCCATTGGGACGCAATTTTAATTTAACGATATGTGGCACCGACCTTTGTTTTTGTGAGTGTGTTCGAAAGCATGAAGCTTGCGTGGATCCTAAGAGGCTGGGACCCACGACTCCGGGGTCACGGTTATTAAGCAGACGTCCTTCAGTTCAGTCTGGGCACAGATGCTGAGTGGTGCTATTTACTCCGAGGCGTGCTGGTCAGTGCCACAGGGGGACTGACGCTTATACAAGTGATTATTTTCATATGGGTTATTTTCTTATTGAAATCGAGATCTTTTCATGAGGCTGGAGATACTGACTAAATTTTCCTGGTGGGACCGAAAGGGGCATGGAGTGAACAAGAGTCAGGAGGCGGGGTCGTTGTTCCTAAAAAGAAGGACCAAAGAAATTGGTTTTGTTTTCCTTTGGCACAAGCCGCTCTTTCCTTCCAGCTCCAGGACAGGGGAGGGCTGCTGGGCCCTGGCCCGGGGACGGGGGGTCAGAGAGTCATCCCCACTCCGAGGTCCGTTGGGCTCTTTCCCGGGGGAGAAACATCCGTCTTTGACTCCGAATCTCCCGCTGCCGATAACCATTGTCTGCCCGCATGGTGCCTCATTCTTACTGATTTGGAAGTTTTCTTCACCATATCATAAATATGTCATTCGCTGAACATGTGCATTGTATATACATCCTATTTTCTGGAGTTCTTTGTCACCCTTTACTTTTATCATTTTATTTACTTTTATTTATTTTCTTATTTCCTTTTATGATGACTCTCTGTGTTCCCCCTGAGACACCCTTGCTCACTGTAGAGTGATGGAGGTATTTTTTCTGTTGTTTCACCTCTTACGGGAAGGTCTGCGTCCCTCGGGAACGGGTGTCTGTGCGCACTTGGGAGGTGTCGTGACGCCTTTGCCACCTGGCTGTTGGTCGGCAGCCCCTTCTGCCCAGAAGACCCCGGTGTCCCTGAGTGGGCTTGTCTGGGGCTTCCTGTTCCGCCCCGTTGACTCTCCATCTTGGGTTGCACCGACTGAACACTGTCTGCATTACTGTCACCGTATAATGACTCGTGCTATTAAGTAGCATAGAGTCTCCCGTTCTGTTCTCCTTCAGCATCGTCTCGGGTGTCTTTGGCTCAGCCCATCCACATCACAACGCTCCTCAGGAATTAATTCTTTAAAAACTCCTCGGTTCACTGCCGCATGCACCCTCTCTGCACCTGTCAGAGGACTTTTGAGAAGTTCGCATGTGTCTGCCGGGGCCTGTGGAAAAGTCCGACCACAGATCAAAAGTGACTCCTTCCGCAGAACGTGCTGTGCTAATTGGTCCCGCAACGCAGCCCGAAGTTATCCCTCAGAGGGCATTTTCATTTCTGATTGTCTGTGGCACTGTGACGGGCCTACAACGGTGACTGCTTTCCAGCTGACACTTCTGTTGCATTTATTTGTTTTTTCCTTCAATTTAGAATCAAAGCTTCACTTTTTGATTTACAGTGAAGCGAGAATTACTAGATAAAGCAGGAAAGCTATTTCCTTCACAGACCTTTCAAAACCCCACCGCTTTAATATCCACTTGTTACAGGGTTATTCTTAGATTTAAATTCAGTGGAAAATGGGGTTATTATTAGTTCTTTGGTTTTTAAACTCATAAATCCCTTCCATTAAATTTTTTATGAAGATTCAGCACCCCCCCACAAACGTTTGATAATATTACTGTGAACAAGTTGAGCTCACTGAGAGCTACCTTTGTTTAATATTTTTAAGTGTAAAATGCAGTTGGAAATAATTTTATATTTGCAGTCCAATAATAAAAGCTGGGATAATGCATGTATTCAGGTACTTACACTCCATGCAATAATCTGTATGTCCCTGGGTTCCTTCAAAACTTTCTTATTATTCTTATTATTATTGTCAAAACATTTCAGTTTAGGTCCTTTGCCCATTTTTAATAGAATTATTTTGTCTTTTTGGTGTTGCATTGAATAAGGTCTTTGTAAATGTTGGATATTAACCCCAAAGAAACCCAAAACCCTGGCTCGAAAGGATATATGCGCCCCTGTGTCTGGCTTGGCGTTATTTAGAATGGCCAGGATTTGGAAGCACCTGTGGGCCCATCAGTAGCTGAGTGAATAAAAAAGCTCTGGTCCATTCACACAATGAAACACTACTGCCCATCCACAACATGAAGGAAATCTTACCTTTTGCAACAGCAAGGATGGACCCGGAGAGCGTTACGCTAAGTGATGAGAAAGACAAGCACCATACGATCTCACTGACATGAAGAGTCTAATGAACAAAATTAAGAAATACACTAAGAGATACAGGGGACAGGCTGACAGAAAGGAGTGGCTTTGGGGGTTGGTGAAAAAGATGAAGGCATTAAGAAAAAAACTTATAGTCACAGACAAAAGTATGGTGACCACCAAAAGGGAAGGGAAGGGGGCACATGGTGTAACGGGGTACATGGTGACGGAAGGAGATGTGACTTGGAGTGCTGAACACACAGTACAATGTACAGATGATATGTAATAGAATTGTATGCCTGAAACCTATATAACCAGTTATAGGTTACTAACCAGTGTCACACCAATACATTTAATAATTTTTAAATAAAAATTAAATTAAACAGAACATTTAGATTCACATAAACCTGTTGATGGGCGATGGCCAGGTAGAGAAGCAGTAAAGTATTGCAGATAGTATTTGCGGCTCCTTCGGGGCCAACCTCAGACATGTTAATGCTGGAACGGTTTGACGGGGGATCCTTCGCCCCCCCATGAGGGCAATATTTGTAGTTAACACGACTCAAGCGTGTTCATGCGGGCAGTCCAAACAACCCACCCATCTCGATTTTGGTCCCTGCTCCTCATCAGCCTGGGTGACGCAGCGGTGGCCACGGCAGGCCCACTGTGAGAGGCGGCAGTGGGCCAGAATAGGTTCCAGTGAAGGAGGGGCCAGATCAGTGTGTCCCTGAGGCTTATACACAGGAAGGAGCACGTGGGACAGGAAGGCGGGAGAGGCAGGTGGCAGAGCGGAAGTAGGCGGATGGAGGATGGGGCAGAAGGGAGGCGGATGTGTGGGTCGGGAAGGCGGGGCTTTAATGGAGTTCGTCTCTTGATTGGAGTGCAGTTGGCAGGTCCAGTGCGTGGCTCTTACTAATCTCCCAGGTGTCCGCCTTTCAACAGACGATCCTTGTAGGATTTCTGGAGCTGCAATTTCCCGGAAAGGTCCCTCCCTGATATGACCTTCCAAATGTTGTACATGCTCCTTCTCTCTCCTCTTGGTATTTTTGTTGTTGTTATTCTCTATCTTTTAGTCCCGGGGAAGACTATTGCAGTTTATCATTAAGGCGGGGACAATGGTAGGGTTACAGTTGCCCCCATGGAAAATAATACCATAATTCATAAGTAATGGGACAAGAATAAACCGCTCTGCATACTCACAGCTGTGAACCCACTATTGCCCGCCCCCCATGAAGGGTCACAAAATAAGCCGTCATAAAAATTGGGAAAGTACTTGGAAAATTATTTTAAAATTCTAGATTAATAACAGCCAAAATAACTTGCTGGTTTTTGACTGATTTTCACGTGTGTTTGTTTCCAGGCCAGAACTGCGGAGGCTTGGTCCAGGGCCCCAACGGCACCATTGAGAGCCCCGGGTTCCCGCACGGCTACCCCAACTACGCCAACTGCACCTGGATCGTCCTCACCGGGGAGCGCAACCGGATCCAGCTGTCCTTCCACACCTTCGCGCTGGAGGAGGACTTCGACATCCTGTCGGTGTACGACGGGCAGCTCCAGCAAGGGAACCTGAAAGTCAGGTAAGGTGTCGGCTCCCCCCACCGCTTCCCGTTCAGTTCTGCTTGACGCAGATCCCGAGGCGTCATTGGAGTTGATATTTTGAATTTCATTGTAAGGGAAGGCCATTTTCTCTGGTTCCCGTAAAAGAAAAAGCTGTAGATGTGCGCACCATTTTTCAATGGTTAAAAACATAACTTCTCACGGAAAGCGATCGTTGACTTCATTTGTGAACACCAGATTGTTCGGGATCCGCAGTCCGGCGTTGTCAAGGTAATTGCAGTGACATTATCAGGCCCCATTGTTTTTAGGCAACTGTGGCTTGGCGAGAAATGGCACCATGACAAATGAGTCCGACTGAGTACTCAGAGTGCAATTCAGAAAAAAACAAAAGCAGCCTTTATATTGTCAGAGAAAACATTCAATAAAAACAACATAGGAGGTGGGTAAAAACATGAAAGACCGTGGCAATCTTGGGAGAATTTGTGTTTTACTCAGTGCATAATATATTCCATTCTCCCTTAGTTTTCTCTATTGATCTATGATTTTTACCATGAAGAAAGAAAAATGCGTTCTGGATGGTTTTAAGTTACATTTTTTATTTGTCACTGTGGGAAATTGCACCTGTACAACTATTCCATTTTTTGTGTGTGTATTTTGCAAAAGAAAAAGGACTATCTTTTCCAGGAAATTAGAACTTCTTAGCTAACCTGATGAACACATTTAAGCATATACATATTTGCAAATAAAGCTTTATGCTCTGGTTTGAAACTCTAGCATTGACTAGAAACAAAGTTTTTGGCTATATAGTGTCACGTAGAAAAGTGGACAGTAGGCAGAAGAAAGTCCTGTTCAGGTGAAGAAAATGGTGTAGCTGCCAGGGTTGGTGCTCATGCACACAAATCGGGAATTTTATTCATAATTGTGGAGGCCGAGGAAAACCTCCAATTATAAGACTAATGATACCTGTACATTTACTTAATATGTACATATCTGTTGTTTAAGGTATTAAATATATTAGTAAATTCCAGGCAGGCTCTATTTGCATTTTACCTGTGCATTCTCCACTGTCAAACCCCTTCTAGTGTTTTCTGGGTCACCTGCGAATGCCCCCCGTCCCTGTGCAGACGCACCTCCCCGCTTGCCCCTCCCTCTCCCCCGGGTGGCACGCCGTCCTCTCCCGGGCGCACCGGGGAGGCTTGCTGTCTCGGTCTGAGGCGCACGGGCCTGCACCCGGGTGTTTGCACGCAGTAGCTACGTAGCTGTCCTCGCTCATCCGATGCCAGGGTTCTGTCCTCTTTGCTGCTTTCTAAATACCCGTCTTTTACCTGCTTTTATTCCCCATGAACGATGCTACTAGGGAACAGCAGTCCATTGTGATGATAAAAAGAGTTGTAAGAGGAGCTGCAAAGAGTGATGGCAAAGAGAGAAGACAGTTTATTCACATGTCAAGCCATGTGACCTTGTGTTAGAAGGCGCTCTCTCTCTTTCCAGTTTGAAAAAAGGCCTAACAAATAAGTCCTTTTAAAAAGCACTTCTCCTCTCCACTTCCTTTCATTCTACCCTCTTCCAGAGGAAACTTTTCTCAAATATCAACTTGATAGACTGCCTGTTTTTAAACAGTCTATTGTCCTCGTATGTTCTTACCGTGCCGCCATGTTCCCTTTCTACATTAATAACGACAAAGCATGGAGCCCAGGCCCCCCGCCCGGTTGGTGATGTGCCGGCGTCCGCACCTGGTGCACTAGGGTCGGAACGCTGAGTCTGGTGGCAGGTCCCCAGAGGTCCAGAGTGGTGTCTAAACCGACACCTGTCCCTCAGGGAGCCCGTGAGTGTTGGTGAGTCCTGTGTGTGCCGTCACGCTTCCAACACTCACTGGTATTTGTACCAGGGAAAGCAAGGAAGGCTGATAAGAGAGAAACGTCCTCGGTTCATGTAAAGTACTGTTGGTTCTGATTTATTCATTTGGGACAGGGAACCAATATGCCATATTTCTGCCCCTTTCTTGTCCTTAAGCCGGGGTGTCCAACCTGTGGCCCGCAGGCCCCGGGATGACTGTGAATGAGGCCCAACACGAAATCATGAATTTACTTAAAACGTGATGAGATTTTTTTGTGATTGCGTGTTACAATGTATTTATTTAATGCATGGCCCAAGACAACTCTTGTTCTTCCAGTGTGGCCCAGAGACGCCCAAAGTTTGGACACCCCTGCGAGGTGAGGAAGATGCTCTTGTCCCCCCGCTACACCCCGTCACTTTTCCCCTGTCTTGCGGCATGCACGCTCTGTGGGTGGGTGGGGACTGCTCATAGCCTGACGTCACTGGCCCAGGTAGCGGCCACAAAGGTGGGGCCTGTTGGAAACAGGCTTCCCCCAGGGGCTGCTGGGAGCTGTGGGTCTTCACTCAGACAAGATGGAATAAACGATGATGGGAAATAAGAGCAGGCGTGTTGCTGGAGCCCACACTGAGAAGGTTGCGACATTTCCACGGCAGCGGACGGGCGGAGGAGTTAGAACTAGCAGTAAATTCTGGTTAACAGAAGACTCTGACGTTATCTGTGTCCCGTTGTACCTTGGGCCAGTCGTCGGCTTCCCCCACACAGTTAACTCACAACATCCACAGGAGGTCTGGGGTTCGCAGTAAGGACGCCTTTGTCCAAGGGTCACGTGTCAGCTGCCGTCCCGCCATGGCAGTTACTGCCGACACTGTCGTGGGCTGTGCGGTTTTGCTGCCACTCAGAGGTGTGTTCAGCAGCGACAGGTGCACCAGCCAAAAAATGAGTAGCTGGTTTTTTGAAACACCTTGAGTATTTTATTATAAAGAAATTTCTTTCGTTTAGCCACAATAAGAAACAGTTTTCTAAATAACTTAAGACTTAGATTTAATCCCAAAATAACAGAACATAGAATTTGGAAGCCAGCCGTATTGATGTTTACATCATACCCTGACCTCTAATGAAGCATATATTATTCACCCTATTAAAAATCTTTAAAGGAAAAGAAATAATGCACAATTTATGTTACCATCTTGGACTATTATATCAAAATATACAAACACGTAAGTGACTTTTGCCTGCATCAGTAAATTAAAATTTAACACGGAGATTTTGAGAGGTAAATTAAGACTTCTCTTAAGCACAAGAAAAAAGATGTGGCTCACAATTAGGAATCGAAATCCACTGAGTGACCTGGAATTAAAGCCACTCCCACTCACCGGCGGCCGCGCAGCCCTGCCTTGTCTCAGTCCCTGACCTTTACTGACTCCGCCTTGCCCCTTACTTCCCAAACGGAGGTCCAACCTTGTGGTCATAAACTCCTGCACTTTGGATCTTGCACCGTCTCTTCATTGACTGCGACCTGTTTTAGTCCTCACAGAACATGCCCCTGGTCCATAGTAGGTTGGCCACCGCTTGACTAGGACCCGACGCACTGCCCTTCCTGCCCTGGGCTCGCCCCTCTCTGATCTGGAATCATCTGTGCCCCATTCTGTGTCTGTTCTGCTTTGACAGTAAGATGAACGGTTCAAGGAAACATCACTCTGATATTCAGGGGACTCTGCAATTTGACGGCAAACTGCACGCTCACCTTCCACCTTTTCCATTTCTCCGCCCTGCGTCCCAGTCCATTTCGGCTGCTCTGGCAGAATGTCATAGTCTGGGGAGCTTACAGACGTCAATTCTCCAGGTTCCGGGGGCTGGAAGTCCGAGAGGGCCTTCCTCTTGGCTCACAGATGGCATCTTCTCACTGTGTCTTCACAGGACTCCATGGGGCCAGTAACCCCATTAGTGAGGACACCACCCTCATGGCCTCGGCACCTCCCAAAGTCCCACCTTCAAATTCCATCACACTGGGGGGTAGGGCTCCCACCTCTGAATTTGGGAGGGGCACCACGGGTGGTTTTGTTTCTTAGTTTAGTGGCTGCACGGGCTCTTCCTCCCCCTGACCTTATAAGAGAACAAAGTTATCATCTCTACCTCCTTGTTCTTTTTTTAAATATATTTTATTGATTATGCCATTACAGTTGTCCATTTCCCCCCTTCATTCTCCTCCACCCTGTACATCCCCTCCCACCCACATTCCCCCCTTAAGTTCATGTCCATGTATCACAAGTTCTTTAGCTTCTGCATTTCCCACACTACTCTTGCCCTCCCCTTGTCTATTTTCTACCTACCATCTATGCTACTTATTCTCTGTACCTTCTCCCCCCTTCTCCTCCTCCCACTCCCCTGTTGCTAACCCTCCATGTGATCTCCACTTTTGTGGTCTGTTCCTATTTTAGGAGTCTGCTTAGTTTGCTTTTGTTTTAGGTGTGGTTCTTAATAACTGTGAGTTTCCTGTCCTTTCACTGTTCATATATTTTATCTTCTTTTTCTTAGGTAAGTCCCTTTAACATTTCATATAATAAGGGCTTGGTGATGATGAACTCCTTGAATTTGACCTTATCTGAGAAGCACTTTATCTGCCCTTCCACTCTAAATGAAAGCTTTGCTGGATAGCGTCATCTTGGATGTGGGTCCTTGCATTTCATGACTTGGAATACTTCTTTCCAGTCCCTTCTTGCCTGTAAGGTCTCTTTTGAGAAATCAGCTGACAGACAGTCTGATGGGAACTCCTTTGTAGGTGACTGTCCCCTTATCTCTTGCTGCTTCTAGAATTCTCTCCTTCATTTTAATCCTGGGTAATATAATTACGATGTGCCTTGGTGTGTTCCTTCTTGGGTCCAACTTCTTTGGGACTCTCTGAGCTTCCTGGACTTCCTGGAAGTCTATTTCCTTTGCCAGATTGGGGAAGTCCTCCTTTATTATTTGTTCAAATAAGTTTTCCACTTGTTGCTCTTCCTCTTCCCCTACTGGTACCCCTATAATTCAGATATGGAAACATTTAAAGATGTCCTGGAGGTTCCTAAGCCTCTCTTCATTTTTTTGAATTCTTATTTCTTTTCTGCTTGGTTGTTTCTTTTTTCCTTCTGGTCCACTCCATTGATTTGAGTCTCAGTTTCCTTTCCATCACTATTGGTTCCCTGT